AACTCGCAGTCGAGGCTGTAACTAGTTCCTCTTCTTCTGAGCGGGCTAATGGAGGATTTGACTTCCTGGCATATGCTAGCATCAGTTTATCATCGAAACGAATGAACGAATTGTAGAGAGTCTGCTAGTCCCAGTGGCGGGGTCGAAGCCTCGACTTCAACGTAAGAGGCTGCTACTTGCAGTGCGGTTTGTCTGGTAGCTAGTAATAACATCAGTAGTAGAAATTTTTACTCATATCTTCATCCCAAACATTACTCATCAAACAAAACATGCGTTATTTGTTCGAAACAAATAATTCTGTTAGCAAACAGACATTTTTTTGCATAAATTACTTCAAACAAAACGCTTTATTCAGTAACCACAAAAAACCCCTTGATTTTCCTGGTTCTAAAACTCGTTCTTTTGTCTTTTTTTCAAACCGGTATTCGCTCATCCGGTCGCCGCAACCTTTTGTCATCGATCACACTGGATTTTAATTTGCAGAGCGATGGGATCGTGACAATTACATCGACATCATCTGGCAGAACATCGACCGCGGTGAGCACTTCAACCATCCTAACTTCTTCATATCATTAATATTATTTACTGTTCCTGTTGGAATTAAGCGTTCACTAGCGTTGACATCCCAAGGACGACGGGATGCATTAAAAGACATCAGTCAGAACCGGAGAACGTCTGCCCACAAAGAAACATTCTTTCAAAAAAAAAAAAAAAGCCGCGGAGAAGCTACGGATATCTTCGGTGGGGCGGGAAGGAATGGGAGGAGGGGGAAATTCTTAAGAACAAAAAATACACACCAAAAAAGTGCGGGGAGCAAAAGAGTACGATAAAACTGCAATTTGGAAAGACAAAACCCAGTTTCACTCATCCAGCAAACGTGGTACTAAACGTAAAAAGTGCCTTATTCTTTCTTCTTGAAGGACTCAACTTGAAATCGTAAGAAAAGCTGATCCGTACACGAGAAGACAGAGCATGGATTCATTTGCTGGCAAGGTTTTCGATAGCATCCACTTTCGAGAGCTGCTCAGAAGCAAGCTGATGATGGATCTGACTCCCTAGCATTCTCCAATACTAGTTTGCTATCGAAATGCGAAAACCGAATGCAAGCAGCGAAACAGTAAAATCATACAAACTATGATAAAAACCAGCAAAACAGCGAAAATATCAGAGAAAATTTGTGTGTAAAATAACCAATCCGGTTAATCAGATTGATTTCAGCAGCAATTGATCAATTCGGAAAAGTGGATTTGACAAAAACTT